TCCGCTCCGCTCCCGGCCCCGCTGCCCAGCGACCCTCGGCTCCGCCGCGACGTGAGTACGGCCCGAGCCGCCGCTCCCCCCCCGGGGGGAGGGAATGGGGCTGCTGGAGGGCTCCCCCGGGGAGGGGGGCAGCCATCCCCAGGGACCCTCCGAGGGGTCCATAGGGGAGAGGGAATGAGGGACCCCCTGCTCCTTAGGCCCTCTAGGGAGAGAGGGTCAGGGCAAGCCCTCTCTTCTCCCACAGTCGGCCGGGCAGCTGGGGGGGCTTTCCCCCCAGGGGAGAGGGTCCGGGAGAGCCTGTCCTGCGGGTGCCGAGGGGCAGAGGGGCCGGGGAGACCCTCGGAGAAGAGCGGCCGAGGGAGCCCCGTCGGGTGAGAGGGGCCGAGTTAGACGCTCCCTCCGTCCCTCCTCGGGGGTCGCCGGGGGATTTGGGCTGGGGAAAGCCTCCCCTGGGGGGTCCCCGAGGGCTTCGGGGGTGCCGAGGAGCACGGTCCTCTCGGGCAGAGGGGTGGGAACCCACCCTCTCAGAGGAGAGGGGCTGGGGGGGAAGCCCTTCGGGGTCCCCAAGGGGAGGGGGAGTAGGGAAGCCCCCTCGGGGAGAGGCCTTGGGGGAGCAGGCTGGGAGAACCCCCCGGGGGATGTTGGGGAGTGGGTCCCGACAGAAGGCTCAGACACCCCTCCCCACCCCTCACCTCAGTTGGCCGAGGGAAACAGCCCCTGGGGCTGGGTCCCCCCCGGAGACACTCAGCAGCATCCCTCTCCCTCTCCAGTTCTGCCGCCCGGCACTGCCAAGATGCTGCTTTTGCTGCTGGGGATCATCGTGCTCCACGTCACCGTGCTGGTGCTCCTCTTCATCTCCACCATCGTCAGTGTAAGTCTGGAATTTTGCTCCGGCACCGGGCTCCGGGTGAGGCAGGGAGTGCCTGGCAAGACCAGAAAGCGTTGGTTTTCATTCGTGGTTTATTTTCCAGCCTGGCTTTTATCAGGGAACTTTGCCTCGCTGTTTGCTGGTCTTACTAACCGTGGGGTTTGGGGGGCATTTTGCACCAAAAGTTCTTCCCACGTTTGTGCTGTCACAGGGTGACGTGCTGCACTGGGGGCTCGGGGCGTCCTGGGAGCCCCTCTCCTTGTCCCCGCGCTGGTTCGCATCAGGGAGAAGCTTCAGAGCCCCCCAACTCCCCTCCGGTGGGGGTGATGGCATGCTCCCCACTCGTGAGGGAGCTCCACCTGCTAAGGGGCCTTCAGCCTGCAGGACCAGTACGGCCAGTCTGAGCAAAAAGCCCTCGAACAGGGCTGGTTTGGGCACTGGCTCCTCAGCGCCCGTGGTTTTGGTCTCCAGCTTTGCTCCTTTGGGGCAGTGAATTAGGCAGAGCCTCTGTCTCCTGACCCGAACTGAAGATTTTCAAGGCTTAAACTTTGCTTTTTAAGTGGGGAGACTGAGGGCTGGATGCTGCACTGAGGGTTCCCAGCACCATTATCGGTCCACAGCTCAGTTAACACGTCCTCTACTTAGGAAGAGGTTTCACTTGCTTTTAAAGCAGCAGTTTTGCAGAGCTGGTGAGTTCCAAGCTTGCTTCACCAGATTTCTCTCTCCCGCTTTTGGTGTGGGTTTTTGGGTTTTTTTTTTTCTGATGGACAGTAGTAGTAGTTGTAGTAGTAGACGTTACAAAAATCTTCCGAGTCCTTACAAAACTCTTCCAAGTCGTTAGAAATCACGTGGAAGCATTCAAATAGCCCGGCCAGGAACCAGGCAAGGACGCAGCGGGGAGGGGAGCATGCATCTGCCCCAAGGGACTTGATCCACGTTTAAACAGAATAAAGAGCTTCTGTTTTTCTGCCGTTGAGGTGAAAGCAGCTAAAAGAAAATATCAGTATTTATTTTCCAAACCCCTTTCTAAAGAAAAACGTGTGCCCTGGAGCAGCTGGCCCGGCACGTGCTAGAGTTCCTCGGGGTCAAAGCTGTTTGGGGAGGTCTCGAGGGGGTCCCACGGCTGCCTGTTGGGGCCCTGGGGCTCAGGGAGCTGTGTCTTTTTGCAGCAATGGCTGGTGAACGGCGAGCACACGGCGGATCTGTGGCACAACTGCACCTCTGGTAGTGCCTTCCGCTGCATGACATCGTCCACGAATGGTGAGTGCTCCCCGGCCACGGGGGCTGCTGCCGCCCCTCGCTTTTCTTCTCCTCCCTGGAATTAGGAAATGAGGGATGGATGTGACCTTTGCGGGTTATTTGTGATTCCCTCCTGCTTTTCCCTGAAGTTGTTCCCTCCCACCCCTTCCCCTCAGGGTCTGGGGGGTGCACGGGGCTGCCCCAAGCGCGGGGTTTGCCAGGTGGCGTTTGCAGTGCCCTCATTTGTCCCCCCTGCTGAAATGGCCCCCGTGGCACCTGCACTCCCGGGGTGGCTGAACCTCTGGGTGAAGAGTGATGTCACGCCGGGTGACGTCACACTGGGTGACATCACCGGTGAGCTGTTTGCTGAGGTCAGCAGGAGAGGAGCACTTGCTAAGATGCCGTGAGGCAGTTTCCAGGGCACCCAGTGGTATCAGTAACATGAAATCTGTGCTCAGTGGGGGTCAAGCAAACCTGTGGCTCAATTTCCCCAGAAGACAGGGCAGTGCTGCCTCCAGCATTTGTTTTCTGTTAGCTTGAGTTTTTGCCTTTCTGTGGAAACAGACTCTCCCAGTAAAACCAGCCATGAATCAGACTGATGCCCCTGGGAGTGCAGTCACCGTGCCAAAATCATGGTCCTGGTGTAGGGGCAAGCCGATGCCCCGTGGTCTCAGCAAGGCAGGAAGGTGTTGCAGCATGAAATGCTTTCAGATGGGAGCCCGTCAGGGTTTTTTGGAGATTCATGTCACCCCAATCCCCGCAGCCTGCTGGGAGCAAACCACTGGCAGTCACCTCATGCAGGGGGGAGGTAGATGCTGAGGCTCATTCTCCTTCTTTTCTCCTCTCTGGGGTTAAGTTTCCTTTCGTGGGCCCCACTCTGGTTTGGGTGGGAGTGAAGCTACCGCCGCGAGTCTCTGCTGACGCCTGGTGGTGTCCGGACCAGCCGGGAAGCGCCTGGATCCCATCCCAACCGAGGAGGAGCCTTCTGGAGTCATGTCCTTCATCAGCAGTTGGCTGGTGCTGGCTATCTGCAGCGTAGGCAGCCTGCTTCAGGGCCATTCATGCATGCTCTGAAACTGCTGACCGTGGGCTTTGAAAGAAAAAGTGGCGCTTGCCCCCCTGCCCGCACTGCCCAGAGGCCCAGAGCTGAGGGCTGTAAAGCCTCCCCAAATCTTTCGCTTTTCAAACCTGCACCGCTTTTTCTGGGCGGTTGCAGGAGGCTGCGTGTCGAGGAGTCGTCGGTGTCAAGAGGGGCTCACCTGAAATGTGGTTCAGGTCGTTTCATCTACGTCTGTCCCGCTGGGTGTTCAGACTCCGTATGCCTTGTTCTCAAAAGCTGCTCAAAGAGGGACTTCCCTCTGGATCTTTCCCAGAAAGGATTTATTTTATTTTTTTTTGATCGTTAGAGGGACTGTAGTGTAGATGACCCCACTAAAAACGCAGTTGAGCAGCTGAGTTTGGTTGATAAGGTGTCCCAGTGGGCTCCTCTGCGTAGAGGAATGTTGTGCTCAAGTCTTTTAAGAGCTCTCTGCCAGCTTGTATTTATATGAAAACTCTGCTCCAGCACCAGGAGAAGAGGGTTTTGCTTGGACAAAGTCTTCTGCCCCATCCACTGCCTGGTCCCTCCTCAGGCTCCCTTTGCTGGGAACATGCTTACTTTCAAAAATACGAAAGATCCTATCCCAGACACCGCAAACCGTTCTCGTTTAAATCTCTTTCAAAACACAGGCCGTGCGCGCTACGCTGGGTTGCGGAAAGCCTGAAGAATTTGTGTCTCTGTGCCTCCGCCAAGGACGGCGCTCAACGGTTAATCGTGGAGCGCCAAGGTCTGCTCTGGGCTTAAGAGCAAGAAATCCTCATTGGGGAATTTTGGCAGGACTTGGTCTTTACGTAGAGGCAGTTTTTTCTCCTGGCCATCGCAGCACAGTTTTTTCTTCCTCTTATTTTGAAGAGGAGGGGCGCTCGGAATATGTGGAGTTAGGCAGGGCTGGGCATGGGTGGGGGGCCTGTGCTGAGGTGCTCCCCTTGGCCTCATCCCTCCATGAGGGTGGATGAGCCTCCTGTCACCCCAATGAGAAGCTGAACTTGCCCAAACCAGGTCATCAGCAGACCTTGGGCACGGGATGGAGCTGGCTGAGCTCTCGCCTCCCAGATTCCTCCCGAGCCCCCTGCATGTGCGAGTGCTGAGTGATGCTGGTGGGATCGAGCGCGGGGAGGGAGGAGGAGACGCTGGGTCGAGGCGGATGCCCACTTTGTCACCTTTCACAACCACCTGCTTGTTACTTTGATTTCTGCGTTTGCCTGTCAGATAATGACTTTTTTTGTTGTTGTTGTCGTCGTTGTCTTCAAGAGGCTGAGAAGTATGGAAAAAATGTTGCAATCTTTGCTTCATTTGCACTGTCAGACATTCCTGGAAAAGACTTATCTCAGGAATTCAGCTCTGAATCCCAGAATTGTGCGTCGGCACGGCTGCATGCCAGCCCCCGGCTGCGTGATCCCTCTGCAGGCACGGGGCACGTGGCCGGACCCCTCAGCCACTCCAGGGCTCTTAAGTAGATCCCACCCTGAATTTTCTGACACTATGTTGTATTTTTCCCCCTCTAAAAATGGCCTTTTCTTTCCAAAACTGGAATTTTTTAGGCAGGCAAGAAGATTTCCTGGTGTCTTCTCACTGTTTCTCCTGTCACTGCTCTGAGGTTTTTTTTGAGTCTGACTGGTGTGTTCACAGGCAGGTTGCAGCAGGGGAGGTTTAGCTTTTTTGAAAGCGAAAAGAAAGCCCCAAACCTTGGGAAACGTGCAGGCTGCCAATCCCCGTGATTACTAAGTGATGCCGATGTGGTGGCCACAACCCAAGTGCAGGTGGGTGATCCAGAGCCAAGTTCTGCCCTGGACCACCTAGATGGGCAGGATTGGACCTCCCATCGGTGGGACAGGCACTGCCACGTCCCGGTGGCTTTCCCTCCTCTAAACTGACCTTACCTCTTCCAGACCCGCTTTGCTCTGGCAGGCAAGACCCTAAACTGGTGCCTGAAATGCGTTTTCTTTGCGCTGGAGGAGGCAAGAAGAGTCTTCATCCCCAGCCCAAGGTGAGGGCATCTGGGCCCTGACCCATCAGCTGTTCCCAGGAGGAATTGTGCTGCTGTTTCTCAACTTTAAAATATGTGACTGAAACACCTGAATCTGTTGCTTTTGCTCTGTCAGCCCCACTGAGCTTATTCCTCCAAATTCTTCCTCTTTCAAAGTCTTCTTTTCTTTTAGAAGGAGTCACTTGTGTGCTGTGGAAAAGGTATGGAGAGATGGAGGTGCCATTTAACTTGCTGTAATCCTTTTTAGGGCTGAAAACGATGTTTGCTAGGCTGCCTTTAAGCCTTGCACCAGGGTAAAATTATTTCTCAATGTCTAATTCCACTATTGAGAGTGAGTATGAAATATCCGAACAAAAAGAGACGGGAGCAAATTCCCTTCTAGCCCACTGAAGGAGCCGAGGTGACACCAACTGGATCAAGACTTGGAGAATTTGTCACTGGTGCGGGGACACTTCCTAGATCAAAGATTTGAAGATTCAAAGACTTAAAACCTGGTGTCAGCCTTTTATTGACTGCTAAAGGTACCTTCTGTCTTGCCGAGTCGGCGGGCACGGGGCTGCTGCAGCCTTCTGCTTGGTTTTGCTGCAAACCAGCAAGAAATTACCCCTGTTTAAGGACACTGAAGCTGTTATAACAAAGCCACCCAGGAAATACTGTAGAGCTTGTTTATGTGATGGCAGATAGCCTTTGTACTTGAGGTTCTAGCCATCGGTTTCTGGACTGCATGGACAGATATCCTGATTTGGGGGTATCTCTGGTTTTTTGGGGGTCTTTGCAGTTTGCAAAGAGCTGGCTTTTAACCTCAGCAGTTTGTGGATTTGGGGCACCTGCTTTGTCATCAGTGATAGGTGACGTTGGCTTAACTCGAGCAGGATTGACCCCCTCTCTGCCAACTTCTGGGTGACCATGGCTTGCCCCTCAGCTGTCTGGAATAAACTGGGCTGGGGGGTGCGTCGGGAATGTTCCAGGAGAGTATTTTGTATTTGAGATCGCTTTCTGCTGTAACCATGTTGCCTGCCATATGAAAGGGATTTCCTCTGCTTAAAATGAGGTTTTTGTTGCTTGTTCTTCTCAGAAAGAGCATCTCCTTGGGAGAGGTAGGCAGTCAGTGCTGTTCTCCTGCTCTCAGCTGCTCCAGAACTCTTTAACTTTTCTATTTCTGTGTAACAGGGGGTTCAGTCACCTCCCCTGCTGGGTGAGGCGGGGCAGGGGGGGTTGGCCCATGGGAGAGGAGCAAAAGGGAGGAAACGAACCTGTGAGAAAACGATGACCAGAAAACCAGAAGAATGGGTGGGGGAGTCCCCTGTAGAGTGCTGGAAAACTCTTAATCCAACATTTTTTTTGGCCTTGATGTGACTCTTGGGTGTCCCTGCAGCCCCAGGCTGAGGGTGCCCCTGTGACATGCCCGCAGGTCAGGGCACCATCGCTCCCCGTCCCTGCTCCTCGTGCCTGGGCTCGCAGTCAGCGTGAGCTGGTACCTGAGCCTGAAATGATGTATCTGCCACCTCGGCTCACTCTCACAGACAAGCCAAAAGATCAGAGCCATCACACCGAGGGTCTTGGAGAGGAGCAGGCTTGGGCATTGTTGAGCTGTTGGAAGGTGGTTTTCATGGTGCCAGTAGCTTTCTGCTGCCTCGGTGGCGCTGGCCTCTGTGGGACGTGAGCTTTGATGGTCTGATGGGACACCTCTGTAGAGCTACAGACCTCCTGGACTCAGAGACTACTTTGATGGAGAGCTACAGACCTCCTGGCCTCAGAGGTTTCATGGATGGAGCTTCGAGGGGAAGGCAGAAGGGAGGACAGCCAAGAGGAAAGGAGGGCAAGAGGAGAAAAGAGGGCTTCATCCGCTTCTGAAGCGAGCTACAGGAAGTCTTGGCCAGGAGTTGGAGGACTGTGTTCATTCTCTGCCTCCCCACAGCCCTGGTGTCTCCCACCTGCTCATCGCCTGGCCCTTACAAATACCTTGGGAGCTCTTTAGAATCCTCCTTTTCTGGTGAGATTTCCAGGAATACCTTTATCCAGCACCTTGTGGTCCTCTCCAGGGAGCAGACAGAGGAGGACAGAAAAGGAGCAACTGTTGGGCGGAGAACCTACTTTTCCAGCTTGAGCATCCAGCAGCCCAGAGCGCGCCTGAGTAAGGTTTGACCTCGTGCTGGCGGGAGATCTGGGACCAAAGCAAAAGCAAGTTGCAGTGTTGTGGAGCTGTTTTTCCCCTAGGAGAGGCTCTGCTGGATGTGGCTGATGAACTTCGATGCTGTTCTCAACAGGTTCCCTTCCAGCAGTGGGGCTGTGGGTGGTCATGGGTGTGGGGGGAGCTGCTCTGCTCAGGAGTAGCACCACAGGTAGCTGAGATTTTTGCATTTCTGGATTGCAGCAGTGAGTTGTCAATAGGCAGCAGTCAAACATTCAGCCCCAGAAGAACGATGCAGCTGAGCTGATAGTTTTGCATCTTCGGTTTCACCCTTTTCCATCCTGCTTTAAGGGCTGCTTAAACGTCAGGGTTTAAAACCGTGGCAAGCCCCGGCGCTTGAGATGTGACCTGGCTCCTTCACAGGCGAGGATGTGAGTTGGGGTAAAGGTCCTTGATCAGATCTCAAAGCCTGAGAATCTGCTTTGGGAGAAAACTCTGCTCAGAAAACATGGCTTTTCCTGGCAGACCTGGGCTGGTACCTTCCTGCCAGTAGATGCATGTGCTGTTCCTGACCCTGCTCATGTTTAGTTTGAGGTGTTGAAGGTTTTCCCATGCAGAAGTGGTCATCCATGTCCTCCCCTCCTCTAGTCTGGTATTATTATATGCTACAGTTACTTCCTCAGTGGACATTTCCTTCGTTAGAAGTGGTTTTTTAACTGTATGGTGCACACACAGCTTGCCAAGGGAAAGCTTTATGCTCTGAGTTGCGAGGTCACAGATATTTTTGATATTTTTTAATGTCGAGCGCTAATTGAGCAATGCCTCGCAGCCAGTCTGTAAGCTGATTGCTCAAATAAGTTTCTTTTGAGTTTGCACTTTATTTTTTTTCTCCTTAGCTGCATCAAAAGAGGAATAGGGTGTCCACAGCAGAACGGTGAATTGAACCCTGGGAAGCCAATGCCTCTCCTTTAAAGCCCTTTGCTCCTGGCCAAGGACATGTTTCTGGCCTCCCTGTCAATCCTGCTCCACTGCACCCCTCGTCTGGGTATAAAACCTCCCTGCACGCAGGCTTTGCTGGAAGGGATTGGGTTAGCTACTGTCTTTTGGGAGTAGGGAGGACAGAGTTCAGCTGCAATTTTTGCCTTAGATTGCAATTTTTGCCTTAGGTTGCCATTTCTGCTCTTGTTTTTTTCTTTCACTTTAGGCTTTAGAGCAGTGGTCTTCAGCATCCCAGCGGTGAAGTCTTTTCCCTGCTACTCTAAGTGGCGGCATGGGTGCATCAGGGCTTGCAAAGCTTAGGGAAATTTTCACATTTGTCTCATAAGAACTTCTTACTCTTTTTGTGGCTATTTGAAAGGGCTCTAAAAGCACTCCCTATGGGTCCTCTCCGGAAGCGGCGTGCAGGGTGTTATCTGTCCTTTCCGCTCTGTTTCCTTTTCTTCCTCCCCCTGAAGAACAAAGATATAAACAGGGAGCTGAAGAGATGCAAGAGAAAAAAAAGAAAAGGCATAACCGACTTGCTGCCCAGGGGAAACCACAAATAACAGGCTGGGAGTAAACAGCGCTGACAGCCCCACAGTACAGCTCGAGGGGCTCAGACCTCCCTCTGGGAAATTCGCTTTATTTTTAAAAGCATGCGGGTAGGACACAGAGCTAATAGCAAAGGAGTTAAAAGCATGTGGAGTTGAGGAGGTAGCCGTCCTATCTGCACCTGTAGTGGTGTTTTCAGATGAATTAAAGGCAATTAGCTGTCCTTGTAGGGCAGGCAGTGTGGGCTTAATGGGAATAGAGCAGCTTGCGCTTGTGGGTCTCGGAGGCATCGAGCTGGGGATCCTGCCCAAAGGAGGCCCAGAAAAGTTAGCAAAGGGCTGTATCTGAGCAGGTCCAGAGCTCTGGTCTGTGGGATCGTCTCTTGACTTCCCTGCTCACACTTGCAGGTGACTGCTGCTCTCTGGCTGCCGAAGCTGTGGGCTTCCTCCTCTCTCCCAGCGAGCCTTTAGATTCCTCTCACACAGCCTTTTATTGCAACGTGCTTTTGCAAAGCCCGTATAAATCATTGGCTGTCAGAACCAAAAAAGAGGCACGGGAGGCGGATGCAGTTAAAAGGGCAGCTCGGCTCAGCTTTCCGTCTAGACAGCCTTCTCCTAAAATAACCAGCAGTTGGAGCATCCACCTCCGAGCAGAAAGGTCTCCAGGCAGGCTCTGAAATCACAAAAGGCTTTGACTTTCTGGCTCCTGGACCAGCCCGCAGGGCTTGGGGCCAGTGCATGGAGCTGGGCTTGGCTTTAGGGCTTGGGAAGGGGTGAGAGGAAAGCTCAGCTGCCGAGATGTGGGATGGGAGCCCTTTCTGTCCTCCAGCATGGAAGGAGGTTGCAATTCAGCAGCTGTACATCCTCTAACTATGCTTCCTGCTCGATCCCCACGTGTTGCCTGGTCTAGTCGAGAGGTGGCGTCCCTGCCCATGACAGGGAGGTTGGATCAAATGATCTCTAAGGTCCCTTCCAACCTAGGCCGTTCTGTGAATTTTTTGGTTCTCAGTCCCCATGTAGGCAATGATTTTCGATTTTTGGCAGCACTTGAGCTGCCCCATCCCCTTCGTTGCTTCACTGGGCGCGAGCGGCCAGAGCTGGAGGGTCAGGTGTGGTCAAGGCAAGGGATTTCCCCAAGAAAGGTGAAATATGTGGGGTATTTTGTGGGGTATTTATGTGTGGTACTGTGTGAAAACCACAACAGGATCTCCTGAAAATGAAGGCAGCTCCTTCCTGAGGAAGGGCAGCCACTGGTACACAGGGATGCAAACCTGGCAGCAATGAAATGATTGCGGGGCCCCTTAATTGCTGCAGGGGAGTGTGAAGAGGAAGGAAAGGAAAAAGTTGCTTGAGATGAGCTGCTCAGGGTGATTTCAGCCCGTTTTGTTGAGCTGGGCTTGCCTTTGCAGGGTGATTTCAGCCCGTTTTGTTGAGCTGGGCTTGCCTTTGCTCCGTTGTACGACCATCCAGAGGCCAGATGCGAAGGCAAGAGGTGGAACTGATGGTCCAAAGTCACGTGCACCCAACGGTTCTGAGTCGCACAGGGTGTTACCCACGGGCACAGGTCTCCTGGAAGGGCTCAGGATGGATCTTCGCTGAAGACTGGACCTCTCTCTCCCATTCAAATTCTGCCCTCACCTCCGTGGATGCAGCTTTGGGAGGATTTAGTGGGGAGGAGGAATAGCTTTGCCAGGAGCAGGAGCTGGCCTGGGCAATCCTGTGTGGCTGCACCAAGAACTGAAGGTTGTTAAGCTGGCGAGTAGCTTTATTTGGGAGTTCTGATACATTTCAGCTATTGGCTGCAAGAAAGCCCTTCCGCAGTCGCCGCAGTTGGTGGGGTGAAGCTGATAGGAGTTAAACCATGGCAGGATGGTGGGGCTGGGACTTCAGGGCTGCCTAATCCTCCCCTGTCTGAGGATCCAGCCCAAAGCATGATTTTTCTGCCTTTCACTGGGTGGTTTGTCCCTCAGTTTACTGCTACCAAGTCCTGCCTGGCTTTCGTGGTGCATCAATTGATATTGCGGCCTTAAAGACCTCTCAAGGAAGGCTGCGGATAGTCATTTTTATCTCAGGCTTCACAAGGAAAGGGAAGGGCAGAGGTATTTGTGAGCATGGCCCCATCGCGGTGTGGTGAGGCACTGCCTCTTTCTGTCAAGCTGCAGCAGCCCATGGGATGGAGTGGTGATTTTTTTTTTTGGTAACATGGGGAGTTACACGCCCACGAAGCCTGGAAATAGCTGGGCAGTGAATCATGCAGGGGCTGGTTTAGCTGGTCTGCTCTGGGAGGCAGCTGCCCTTGGCAGCTGGGGAAGGCTCTTTCCGAAAGGTTTGACTCCACAAGGGCAGAGAGTGTTTTCACTCGCTGTCTGTTTATTTTACCTCCGAGCTCGGCCAGCTCGGTGTGTCATAGCTTGCTGCACATGGTTTTTGAGTTTCGAGTACAGCTGAGATTACATGAAGCCGGGGGAGCAGCTTTTCTGCAGGTTTCAGATTAGGCTCAATATCTCTGCTCATATTTTATTATCACTGCTCCCTGAGAAAGTGCGTGGCCCCACGATCCAGTTCACCCCAGCACGATGCTCCACACACGCATCGCCCCAAACCCCAGGCGGCATCGTGGTGTCCTCACTGAGCCTTCTGTCTGTCTGTCCCCAGAATGGCTGCAGTCTGTCCAAGCCATGATGATCCTCTCCATCATCTTCAGCGTCTTGTCCCTGTTCCTGTTCTTCTGCCAGCTGTTCACGCTCACCAAGGGCGGGCGGTTCTACGTTACTGGAATCTTCCAAATCCTTGCCGGTAAGTGGGGACTGAGGGATGAGGCCGTCACCAGTGGAGAAAAGGCTTTTGAGCAGAGCAGAGGGTGATGGTGGGATCTTCCCATGGGTTGGGGTGGGGTGCTGATGGTCCATGGTGGCTGCACTGGCTCTAGGACCCGCCTGGGTGAGGTTTCCTCAACCATGGGTGGGGTGGGGGAAGTCCTGACCATCCTCTTTTGGCGAAAGAGGATCTGATGATTATTTATAAACTTGCCATGGGGGGAGGCCTGGTGCTTTCCACATCAGCAAAGAGCCGCTGGAGCGTGCAGGGCGAGCCAGCTGTCTTTGAAGTGCCAGCTGCTCTTTTTAACTCTTTGAAGAACCCAGCGCTGGAAATGAGCCAGGGCTCACGCCTAGGTTGCAGTTCTCCAAATATAGATGCTGTAAAAGCTGCCGATTCTGTTTACATTTCCACGTATGAAAGCAGTGGAGAGGATTTTCGAACATTCACACTTGTGCAACGAGGTTCTGCCTAAATTATGGCAGACTGCTTGGGAAGGAGACTCATCATTTGCTAGAGCTTAGATGTTAAACTAAAAGCCACCCTAGGTCCTGCCACTAAGTTGGTGGAAAACCTTATCCACTGAATTTAGGCCAAGTTTCTGAGCATCCTCTAAGCGACTGGCCTTCACAAACCCTCGAAAAGGTTAGAGCTGATGTTTCTGAGCAAGTGTGGCTTCAAATCTATGGGAAGTGTATCTGCTTGGCCATAATGCAGCTGATGAGTTCAGATCAGTTCACCATCTCTGGGAAGATGGATGCCTAGAAACCCATTACAGCCATGGAGACAAGGAGGGGAAATGGGCATTAATAATGCAATTATCTGCCTGAGAGCTTGTCTAATAGATCTGAGAGCAGAAAGCTCTCTCCTGAGTGATTGCTCTGAATCCTTGTTCTCAGAGGAAGATAGACTGGGATTGTGACCCTCCTGTCCATGCTGTGTCCTGAGGGGATGCAGGGTTAGGTTCTCATTGAGCCTGAGGTGTGGGTCGAATCCATGCCCAGCCAGCAGGAAGGACAGGAGAAGTCTGATTTGATCCCCATGATGTTTCATCATGGCTTGGGCTGACCCACAGGCAGAGGTCTGGGTCCAGATGGACCATACAGAGATGGGCGCTGGTGGCCATCCTTGCTGTTCTCCCCAGCTGGGGCTGCAGGAGGGGGGCTCAGGGTAGTTGTGGTCTTTGTGACCCTGAATTTCAGAGTTGTTGGTAGGAAACAGGACATGGCTGTGCCAGCGCTGCCAGGAGATCCCACCTGCAGATACAGACAGCTCTGGTCAAAAGAAGCTGAACGTGCTGTGGTCTCCTTGCAGCTTGCTGTAGAAGGCCACTGCTGACAAAAGTCGATGGAGGAAATTCCTGTGGCCTTCAGGCTTTGCACGTTGTTCATCCATGCCTTGCAAAACCCTGGCACCACAAAGCCCTGCTGCACCTCTGCCAGGGACGGGGTCTTGTCTGCTCGAGTGCTTTATTCTCAGCTCCGGATGAGCTGGAGAGGACCTCCCTCCTTTTGGGAGAGAAGGAGAAGGCTTTTCCTGAAGGCCTCCATCACCCTGCACCTCCTCCCGGCGTGATGCAGCTTGGCAAAGCTGAGGGTCTCCACCTCTGGATCCCAACAAACAGCAATGCTGGACGTGAACCATATGGTGCCAGAGACAGGACCACTGGGTGCTGTTGGGTGGCAGAGCTGGGCAGCAGTGCGCTGAGAGCCAGGGAGGAGGGCAGGGGCTGGGCTCCAGGGAAGTGGTTGAATCGTTATCCCTGGGGGTTGTTCAAAAAATGAGTAGATGTGGCACTTTACGACATGGCTTAGTGGTCATGGTAGTGCTGGGTTGATGGCTGGACTTGATGATCTTACAGGTCTTTTCCAACCTTGATGATTCTGTGATTCTATTGAGACTGAGGCTGTGGCTCAGGGAACTGGGGCAAAAAAGAGATGCATGAGGTCCGTTGGGTCTGCTGCGCAGCAGCAGGACAGGTTGTATCCCCAACACCTTCCCCACACTGCTTGGAAATGTGCCCTGAGGTCCAGCTGAATTTGCCCTGGAGGGATTTCAGCTGTCACAAAGGCATCAAAAGGCCCTTGACAGCTCCACTCCGTCCTTGGTGGATCCATCACGTCCATGGGTAACTTCTCAGAGCTGCGTAAGCCCAGCATGGGAGAGACGTTGATTTGGGCTTCTCAGAGTTTTGACTCAACTTTTCCATCACTCTCTCCAGCCTCAGAATCACTTTTATCCTTTTTCTCTCATCTCTCCCACCCTAGAGCTGTTGTCCTGGGCTGTGCCTTCCACATGTCCCACAGCTTTTTACAAAAATCTATGTTGGAGAGCTGACTGTGAGCATGCACCAGCATCCATCCCACCTTGTCTGTGGGGCCAGAATGCAGACCTGCAGGAGCATATTTTAGGTAGCATTTGCCTTCCCGGCCCATCAAAGCAAACCTAGACTATGTTCTTAAAAATCAAGCCTTAATGTGGTGATGCATTTATTGCTGCTTTCAGTGCAAGCAGCTGCCCTTCACCTCCTGAGCACGTTCTCCGGGCCAAAACTGGTGCAGATGCTGCAGATGCTGCAGAAACCGTCGCCTCCAAATTCCTCGGGCGGACAATTGCTGCTATATTTTCTGCAGGCTGTAGGTGACCGGCGTGGCCGCGTGCCCGTTCCCTGTCCCACCAGCATGGGCAGACAATCGTTTGTGCTCTCTTTGCATGGGCCGGGGCGGTGGGAGTTGGTTCTCGTGCTCTGAGAATGGAAACTGCCCCAGCGGCGCGTTAATGAAACGTATTCCCACTTCTGCACTTTTCCCAGAACAAAGGAGCAGTGTCAAGTGGAATTACAGCTCAAATATCACCGTGGTTTAAATGTAGGTGGTCCCGAGCTCCGCGCAGGGGATTTGGAACTCAGCTCTGACAACAGCCCCACGACTGTATAATAGAACTGCTGGGCTTGACTGAAAGCGCTTGTTTTCGGGCAGAAATAGAGGTGGCTTTGTGTGAGCTCCGGGCAGCCCCCAGCGCCGAGGGGTTGTTTTTGCAACAAAGCTTAAATGTTGCCTATGGCCAGACACAGCGCTTGGGGACCTGTGCTGGCCCCGCAGAGGGGGACATACCCCTGAGGAAGGATGCTGGG